TCACATTTAGTTATATTTTACTTATAGTATTATTCGTATTTAATCATAGCTCTATTTCATAATACTATTAAGGCATTATACTATGGAACATCATTAAATTACGTATGCATGTATCTTATCACTAAATGTACTATATTATTGTACTATAATATCATACATTGACGTTTACTTATTGTCATATGTAGCAACTTATGTCTTATAATCCTTTTTGTAAATTACCTTTCTGTGATATTCCTGATTAAGAGCAATTAATGGCGTCTGGTTTTTTAACCACTGCCTTGTTGTTGTAGCTGCTTGTTGTTTTTTCCACTGAATAGGCATCATTCCGGTTCTACCTTTGGACCACGGTTCTACCTTAGGTCGGAAGCCTGGTCATTTGCGCATAACCCTCCTGTGCGTCCTTTTATCGCAGCAATGAGTATCGACGCGATATCTATGGACAATAACGCCCACCCGCATAGAAATTGAGTGGTGCGTAGCCATCTGGAGAGTAACACCATTCCACATATGTCGTGGCCTGCTAGATCACCGGATTTCAATCCAATAGATCATAAGACGACGAATAGCAGTTTGCCAGTCCTCCTCCATGAGCTCGGACATTACTACACAAATAGGCGCTACTGCGACATCTAGCGATCAACGGCACGATTGCTAGCTTGCTTCACTGTTATCAAACAAGCATTTCAGCTAGAGGGTATCATACCCGTTTTTGGCGTGATGATTCCATTTCATATTCTTCCGACCCATTTGATTTTTCGCGATGTGATGGTCATGTAACATGTGTGTGGTCTAAAAATACCACACGAACCTCTTGGATCAAATTCACGCATATCCATTAAATAGTTTTTGCTTTATTCCGTGTTTTGGCTTTGTTGCTTATTTTTTTTGAGCAAGAATGTAACTTGAAATGTATTTAACTTAAAAATATGTTCGTCTGATAATATTCATTTCAACATAAGCAGTCTTTTTATAATAGCATATGTTTCTAACGTCTATTATTCAGAATCGTTACATTTTAATATAATTATCCCTCTTATTATATATCGCTATTATTTTGACAGCACATTTTTCTTACGTCTATTATTCAGAATCGTCATATTTTAATATTATTATCCCTATTATTATATATCGCTATTGTTTTAATAGCACATGTTTCTAACGTCTATTATTCAGAATCGTTTGCTTGCCAGTCCCGAGAGTGTTGTGAGGGCGCAGCCCGGTCCACCTTGCAAAACAAAGTTTGCTCTATGACCCTATACGGGCTAGCCAGTACAAAAACCGCAAACAAGGAAAAAATAGAAACATAAAATAATCGCAAGTAATCAAAATAGTATGTTAATAATGAAGTAAAAAATAAGTAGAAATTAGTATTTACACATCACACAAACATCCACACAACCATACAAACACACAGGCTTCTGTAATGTTATTAATAATCTTCATAATCTTATGTGCTATTCCTCTTGCCTTAAGTAAACCATTTTTCATGAAATCTATGTTCGCTCCATCAATGGCATCTGGTTAACTTACATTCTGCAGTAAAGTGGACATTGTCTCCTACTTTTGTACATACTTTACATAAATCATTATCTTGAACATGGAATTTTTTCAGATAAAAGGGAAATCTCCCATGACCTGTAATTAACTGATTCAAGTCAATGTCATTGTTAGTATTCATATTTTTCTTAGGAACAAAAATCTTCATGAACATATTATTTTTATCAGAGTTTTGCCATATCCCGAGTTATCAGAGTCCCGAGAGTGTACCTATTTTTTAAATACAGAGTATTACATATTACGTCACGGGACTTCAGAGCTGGAAGTAGAAAGTGATTCGTATGCTGTGTCACGCGGTTGTTTTAAGAATTTGGTCACGTGGCATTCTGGTGCTAAATGAGAGTTCTTGAAAGCTCATTTTCGAGCATGCTGTATGTAATCAGCGTTGCCGCTGAGCCGTGCACGTGATACGAGCACACTGAGTTTTATGTAATAACACAGGTGCTTTCACTTCCCGCGCACACAAAGAACACATGTATGTTAAATCGCTGCTATGATAATCAAGGTAATAACTTTTTTTACTACCTTCCAGTAGAATTACCACATAAACACATTCAAAATAATTCTATTACAAAATCCGAACTAGTAGAATATTAAATTACTCGACATCTCACTGGGCTTGAAAAAATCGTTTCCCGAAGTTTCACAAATACACCTTTCGTTACCTGTCAACTCCGACAAAAATGTTCACAGCCCAAAAGTCCTTTTCAAAAAACAGAGTCGTCTATATTATTAAAATATGTTCGTGTCTGTTTATTTGTTTGTGGCATTACCTCCACCGGAACGGCGGGGAGTTAAGTTTCGAAAGAGGTACCTCCGGATTCCAAAAATTCGCAGGAAGCCATTTCGACCATTCTCATCTTCGTACGACTTTAATTAAAGGAGATATTAATTAAAAACTCTAAAAACGCCACTTTTTGCACTAGTTTTTCCGACTGGCAACAGTCTCGCGCGCTGGAGATAAAAATCTGCTTTATTTCGAAAAGTGTTGCCACTGCTCGCTTTCAAATCGTAGAGTTTGTTAAAAACATTTTGTAAGTTTTACAAAATATGACATAAAAATAAAATTGCCAAAGTATAAACGTATTATTAAAACGTCATATTCTGACGTTGAAGAAAACAAGCGGTTGCATGTGACGTCATTGTATGTCGAAAATGTTTCGCTAATGTCAGCATTTTAAGCAAATAGCTGTATGCAACGTTTTAGTTTCAGGTTTAGGATAATTCATACGTCATGTTATTGCTGCGTTATTTCTTTTATTGACATTGAGAAAAAGTTAATACGTATATTACATTAAATTATATCATGACGTTATACGTATTTACCTGAAATGTCCAAAGATTTTGTTTCCTGGTTTAGAAACAAAAATATTATTTACGGATTGGTTGTTGCTTGGAAAGAATGAACTGATTTCATTCATTTTGAATTTTTTTTTTTATACATTTTCCTTTCAGGGTGTACATACAGCCTGTAAGTTTAGCTTTAGTCGTATCTTGCTAGTTAAAAAAGAAAAATCTGTGTACACAAAAGTTTAAAAACACAATCCAATTAAACGGTATCGATTCGTTTCCGAAACTGATTGGTTTGGAAGTTTTAATTTAAAAATGTATAGCGTAGTTTTTGATTGTTCGCACACTAATTATTTATATTATTACTTCCGCTTCTGCCACATATTCCTCCTCCTTTGAAACGTTAATGTGGATCGTCGATGGCGAAATTGTTAGTGTAAACCATAGATCGCTGAAAATTCGCAAATTTTCATTGCGTACACTGCAACAGTTCCCGAATTTTGCGTCCTCCAGCGGCGTAAAATCACTGCTCTAATTATTATCACTTATGATTTTTGTTGATTTTAATCAGAACTACTAATAATATAAGATAGTTTATTTGTTAATACTTATGTGCACGTATCTCATAACGCAGAGAGGAATAGAAACTGAGTTACAAATTTGACAAGTAAGTTATAAGACGTCGTGGCTAACAATCTCAAAATTTCCCTATTTCTGTCGTCAGATAAAGTGGAAAAAAATCTTTTCAATGATGCTTATTCCGAATTTCTAAAGTAATTACTTGTTTTTGGCAGCATTTTGAAAATCACTCGATTTTTTTCGACATTGCATATTTGTTACTTTAAAATTTAATATCCCAAAATGTGCCTGTTATAAAATTTTCGCATATTATAAAAAAAAAACTTTTTAGATCCCCATTTAAAAACAAAATCGATCAATATTCGGAAGCAGACAATATTTCCATAATTAATACTTTTGTATAAACAACCAACCAGATTTTATGACAAGATTCCTTTCACTGTGCTCATAACATAAAATCAGTATTTACTGTCGACTTTCGATATACGAAAGTTGATCAAAAATGGATACGTATATTTTACTGGGGAACTTTAGTATAGAACCACAATTAGCAACTTCGATAAGTTTTATTTGTTATTCGATAACAGAGTTTGAAATTTTTGATCTTATGTTGTATTCACACAAAAAATTTGGAAAACATCAGCCACACCCCTTAGAAAGTCTCCCCAAATCATCCCTCCTTTACCGTAGCTGAATAAACAACCTTGCAAAACATTCACTTTCAATAGCACTGAGAAATCTCCAGTAAAAATCTTTCAACCTCAAAATTCCGTATGTTTGTTTAATCGATTACGCAACAATTACTTGTACAAAAGGAAACATATCTTCGTGTAGGAAAATGAATTGAAATGTGGATTGTATTCACAAAGCATACTACAAGGTTCGTTTTTCCGGATCAGAAATCTTTTGACGATACTTTTCTTTTGAACGACTGAAATATTTTTATGGCCGGCTTGCCCGGAATCTTTATGCTAACCTCCCAAAACAACCCTATTATAAGGGTTTATGATTATGATGTGAATGATCCAAATAATTGTAAACGGCCTATGTCCATATTTAGTCCACATACTTAGTTAGTAATTTAAGTGCACCAGTTGACTCACACTATCTGTATTGTATGTATGTATGTATTATATCATCTCTAGACTCAGGTTTAAAGCCAGCTTTAAACCTGAGTTTTCCCTTTCTCATCTTTCAGATGGTATTTTCCAGATGGAACTCGGCGTATACTTTATTTTGCTAGAATTACCAGTTATCTCGCTCTCCTTTTACTCAAAAATTATAATATAATAATTTTAAAAAATTATGTTAGTTACTTATGACAATATTCTAAACAACCTACATGTTCGACAAGCGGTAGGGTCCATGACCCAGGCATCCCAGTGCTACACCGCTTCCATGTGCGACTGCATCCTGTATTTTCTAAAGGTTACAGGGCTTTAACTTTCCATCGTTTCACTTTTCAACTAGAACAATCAACGTGCAATATTTCATAAGTGATGGATCATTCACTACGTCGAAATACCGGTGTTTAGCCGTTTTATCAGTTAGCGAGCTAACAGAAAGAAACTCACCTGCTATGAGATAGAATCCCGCCAGAAGGGATCCGACCCATGCCAGTCGTCCTTTGCTCTCTCCCAGATCTTTGGCCAGCTCTGGTAACAACAGTCCATACGAAAAGATGATTCCGTCTACAATGACGTTGCAAAAGAAGGACCCAAGAACAACAACCCAACCCCAGCCTCCGTCGGGTGGGCGAACAGTCACTGTCTCCACAGGTTTGGTTTTCTTTTCCATGGCTTGGAAGATTCCTCAAAAGAGCTGCCACTGTTGTTTTTTGACAGCGTTCTCCTTTTCAGCAGAGCTTCACATTTGTAAGTCACAGAAGGGCTAAAACTGCAGCCTAATAATAACAATAATAATTTTAATAAGAAAAAAAAGCATGCAGTTATTACTAAACAATGCTCAAACCGTATAAAGAATCAGAATTTCATTTCAGAAGTAGAAACTTAAATCTAAATGAAACGTTTTTAAGTTTTAGATAATAAAAGACTCGAATTTAATAACAATTTAAAAAAAATTCTCGCTTCGAATAATTGAATACACGTTTTGTGGAGAGAAAAGTAAAGAAAATTCTGATTTAAAGAGAACGAAACATTTTTATGTAGATTATGCCGCAGAAATATTTAACTTTAGAAGCAAAAAGCAGGAAAAATCCACAGTGTTTTCGTCGAGATTCGAACCATGGTTCCTTTAGCAGCTAGCTGAACTTCCGTACACTAGGACAGCATGCATAGGGTAATGTGATAATTCATTATATTCGTCTCCACTTAAAAGGCGACTAGCAAAAGGCACGATATCCAGATATTAGCCAGTTATCATACGCCGCATTTTAGTTTGGGCATTCTGTTTTCTAGATTAATATTCAGAATCATTTTTTCCGTATTTCACATCTATCTCTTTCTCAAATTTTTTTAGTCCACCACCATTTTTAGTTCGGGCGCCACTGTAGAGACATTAGGTATTTTCGGAAGCAGAAAAGATGAAAAATGTGCAATGCCCTCGCCGGGACTCGAACCACGGACCTCTCGAATTTGCGTCGAGCGAGCTGACCACTACACCATGAAGGCATGCTAAGAAGGAGGGAGAAATATCTTATAAACATTACAAACTTATATTTTAACAAAATTTGAAACTGGATTATAAAATTTAGTTTAGATATTATATAGGATTTTTTTATTAATATTTAAAATTACATCTTTATGTATCATTTTATATGTTCAAGTATTAGAAGGTTTATGAACAAAATGATGGGACAGAAAGAAATCCAAAGACTGTGATATATATATATATATTATAGACAAAAAGTAACAAATTTAGAACCAGTTTCACAAAAACCCGAAAAGAAGTGAAACTCAATACCAGCAAATTTCATATAAACATGTAAAATAAACCAAAGTGAGAATTAAAGAAATACAAAAACACAAAAAAATACAAAAAACACAAAAATACATAGGACGAGGAATGCAATCAAACCTGATATAACTTTATCAACAGGAGGTACATCAGAGTCAATTGAACCCCCCCCCCCCAACCTTCTAAAAACTACCGAGTTTCTGTTACCGAAATTAGCTAATGAGCCGTTTTAAATTATATAATTGTAACAAATCACCCGAATATATACGTATATATATATATATATTTCATTCTTCTTAATAATCGGACAATTCGCATTGTATATAGCAGCACGAATTTACGCACCTTTTTCGTTTTTTTCATTAGATGAAAAATATGTAGGCAGTGTTCTGATTAGATATATAATTAAAAAATTAAATAAGGATTTAAACTGCGTGTATTGCTCTTGAACTGCTCAGTTTGTTAATAATCAAAATTGATTAAATGGCAAAAGTAAATTAAAGTTCTCATACTTTATTGATCAGTCGCGAGGCTGCGTGGGTGGTGAAACGAAATTGTGCATAGTGACATAGTATTTAAGTGGAAGACATATGCACTGCGGCATAACGTAATTTAAATTAATATAACCCTCCGAGAGTTTAAAAATAAACTGCGCTAAGCATGCTTATAAAGTCAAAAAGTATTTAGTAAACAAATATAAAGCCAAGATACAATAACACGCTGAACAAGTATTAATTTAGAAGTCAAACAACAGAGGTTCCAAGTTATATTTCCAAATTTTCACAGGACTAGTTTCGATGGTTTTACTGAACCATCAACCTCTGCTGCCAAAGTGCAAATGTGCTTTTTTTTTTTTCGCTTTGGCAGCTGAGAATGATTGCTCGGTAAAACCATCGAAACTATTCCTGTGAAAATTTTAAAATATAAAGCTTATTTTTGTTGTTTGACGTCTAAATTAATAAATATAAAGCCGTTGACCGTAGATGTAATTAATATTTAAGTGCGCACATTCAACCCAACGCGAGACAAAGGCTAACGGAAATATGTCGGGTAAACAGTTTGACTCATCACCACTGGATGGAAGCACATAGCTTACAGTTGCTATGTAGGTCAACTGTTTTCCTAGCTGCGAAAGGCGTTCTATTAAAACGAGGATAGTGTATCACAGTCGCATAATTTTACATTGAAAATTAAATCTGGGATAGTTGCATGCTGTTGCAAAATTGTGAAATTGCTCAATGTCGAGATAATTGAAAACTTTTAAATAATTTTAAATTAGTCTAAACTAAAATTAGTCTAAATAAGGAGAGTTAGTAGTAATTTGCATAGTTGCAAATTAGTCAGAATTAGACAAATCAACTCTTTTATATATAGCTTTAAATTGGACAAAGTTGGTGCAGCCCAAAGCTATCGCATAATTTCAACTTTGGATAGCCCACTGCTATGGATAATTTTATAATGACTGACTGGAATAATTAAGCTTTGTCAAAAAATTTTAGCTAATCAAAACTGAAATAATTCATTACCTTAGTACAATTTGAAATCGCTTAAAATTGAGATATTTCAGAGTTTTCCCATCATTTTAAATTAGTCAAAACTGGAATTGTCCAAAGTTATCGCATGATCATAGAATAACTCACACGAATAGTTTACTTTCAGTGCATAATTTGTAATTTCACCCAAACTGGGACAGGACGGTTCTTTTCCGTAATTTTAACGTAATTAAAACTGAAATAGTTAACACACCATTTCATAAGTTTTGTCCAAAACTGGACTAGTTTAACACCGCCATATAAGTTGTAATTGATTCAAACTGGGGAAGTCCTGGCACTTTTGCGTAATTTTGGAGTGATGAAAATTGAGATGGTCAACAGTATATCCAGATTATAACAGTGAGCAAATTGGCTCACTGTTATAATCTGGATATACTGTAATTTTAAATTAGCTAAATTAGGAATTAAAATTCGATAATTATAATTAATTAGGGAAAACCCATTAAACTTAAATAATCAAACTGAGATAATTAAATTGCAATTAGGCATAATTCTATTATGTTAGATAGTAAAACTGAGATAGTTAAATTACAACTAGGGATAATTCCATAAACTTATAGTCAAATAGATAGTCAAAGAGATAATTATAATTAGAGATAATTCAATAAACTTCAATAGTCAAAGACATAATCCACAGGCATCGCATAACAAACACTATTGAAAGTTTCACAGACTATTTGAAAATATTCCTCTTATTCAGTTACTGAATTAATATTCAGTTACTGAATTAAGTTTTGATAACATATAAATTTTGATTTAACACAATTTATTTGAACTTTACACAAGAAAATGATTTATATTTATACATTTTAATAAAAATGTCCACCGGATATCTAAGACGACGTGATTTTGCATATTTTTTTTGAAAACCTCACCCGTTTTTAAAGCACAAAATAAATGTAAAAAATTACATTAATTTTTCTGCCACTTTTAAAGAAAACGTATTAGTCATATTTCAGAACAGGATGATTGATCCAGAGATAGGATAAATCCTAAATTTTCCCGGATTCAAATCCTAAAATGTTCTAGAAGCTCTCGAATTTTCTGATTCTTCAATCCTTCGTATAACCATAGGACCGTAAAGATAAAAGCTGATATGGACACCACATGACTTCCTTATACGGTAACATATTAAGGTACACTGCTAAAAAAAAAAAAAAAAAAAAAAAAAAAATTGGGACAATCCTATATCTCCCGATCTACTGGGCCGATTGACAAAATTCAAATTGCGTTCTTTAGGTCTCGAAAGCGCGACTTAGGATATATATTAGATTTATATATAGCACTATTCTAACATAGGTATTTTGACACAAAATCGGACTTTTTCTGAAATAACATACCAATTTTTTTACATATTTCGATTCTACGACTCAAATTACGCCTAAATAAGAAATTTTGTAAAATTTGGAGCGAAATTTACGGAAAAATTCACAAATTTATGTTGGCACTTTTTTGTTAGTTTGCGCCAAGAATACTTCACTTGGCGAACTTCTTAATATATGCAACCTAGTTTCCTTTCCCGTGAGAGAAAAAAAGTCACCATCGTTCCTTTTTTCCAAATATTCTTTAATTATATTTTAATTATAACTTATTATTTTAAGTAATTTTTTCTTTTCGAATTTCATTTTAATTGTTTAAGTTGCACGTTTTTTTTTTTTTTTTTTTTTTTTTTTCGAATAACTGTTTTAAAAATTTCTATTACCTATTCAAACTGCGCAAATAAAGGTTCAGCGTTTATTTTTTTTCAAATAGTTTTCTTTATATATATTTTTTGTCATAGTTATTATTTTAGGTATTTTTAAATTCTTATAACTTTATTTTAATTTTTGTTGCATTGTCTCTTCAGATAATTGTTTTAAAATTTTCTATTTATTCCTTCGAACTAACTAAGCATTTTAAATATATTTATTAATATAAATTTTCCAGAATTTGATTTTATTTATTTGAATTGCGTTTCTTTCGGAGGAAACTTTGTAACCCAGACTACGATGCGTTTGAAAACTGCATTTTATTAAAAGAGAAAATACAGTAAAGCACAGTTAACACGCCTTTCAATGTTCCGTTCAGAAAAGATATATATAAATAGGAGAGATGTATAACCGACATTTTAACTTAGGATGACTTGCATTACACTGCTTTAAACGTTTTATCATTGGCCCATTGCTTTACACAATTTTATCCTACATTTGGTTTCTTAAATGTTATTCATATTTTAGTCAAATATTTTATTTTTGAAATCGTAAGAATCAATATCATAAGATTAAAATGTTTTAAATTTAAAAAAAATACAAATACTAAATTTTAACCAAACATTTATTTTTTCCTTCTCTTTTTCTTCAGGCATTATACTTTATTCTTGCTCTTTTTCTTTAGGCATTCCGCAAGTATATTAAAAAGCATCCAACTTTTCGAAATATCTTGATATTTCTGACAA